TGTATTATCCCCTTCCCTTGTTTTATTGTAAGCCGCCCGGAGTCCTTCGGGAGTGGGCGGCATACAAGATCAATAAAACTAAACTAAACTAAACTTATGTTCTTCTGCCATTCTTTCAATAGGTCATGTCCTGCCTTTCCATGCCATGTTTCATCTCTTCTGACAACCAGTGCCTATGGACAGATGGGATCATGTCCCGGATATGGGATGGTCTTCAGACCAAACGCCTGGCGTGCCTGCCACGATCTGAGAGCTCTAACTTCTGCACCTGGCAATCCCTGACTGCCCAAGGACCTGGCTCCCTTCGCAAGTCTCGCCTCCTGAGGCAGTAAACGTCTATGGACTCTGGAGTGTACTCCTCTCCCTGACAATCCCTCCGTTTCTATCCGAGTTGTCTCTTTTTAAATAAATGCCAATTCCAACAATTAAGCTTGCTCAAGTTCTGTACTGGTTCTGGGAAGACAGTAGCAATAGCCTCTAGAGAAGGATGCAGTAGTTCTTCTAAGGCCGTGATAGCGAACCTATGGCACATGTGCCCGAAGTGGCATCCGGAGCCATGTTGCCTAGCACGCGTGGCATCACCCGTTCCTCTTCTGGGTTTCTGGCGTGCATGCGCACATGATGATCAACTGGCCTGTGAGCATGCAGCAGTGCCAGAAACCAGAAGAGCTGGTCTTCCATTTTCCAGTGTGAGAATGCGTGCCAGCCAGCACATAGGCACCCCGGAAACCAGAAGTTCATCTTCCGGTGTGTGCATGCCCCCTAGCCAGCTCCTCTTCCTGGTCGCGGCCCAGACGAGTGAGTGCACCCGCAAAGGGCTCCCCTTTCGGCACTCGGTGATTTGCGCACACATGCGCGCTCCCTTTTCGGCACTCGATGCCGAAAAGATTCGCCATCACTGCTCTAAGGAAAACCCAAGGGAACACTTTTAGATGTTTTAATGGGGAAAAAACCCTAGAATGTATGTAGATAATTTTCACAAAAGGAACAGAGGAAGCTTTCAGTAGCCAGCAAAACGGCCTCCAAAGGGCCTTCCAGTTTTCCCCTACAACTCTAGTCCCCAGTCTTTCTTCCTGTCTGGGTGTCCTGAATTTACTATTCCACTGCCCATATTCTGGATTAGGAGTAAAGAAACCATCTTTCAAAGCTGCACAGCTCAGTCAGGTATCCATGGGGCAGCCCTTGAAGAGTGTTCGGAGACTTCAGCTTGTCCAGAATGCAGCCGCGCGAGCGATTGTGGGTGCGCCTCGGTACACCCATGTTACACCTATCCTCCACGAGCTGCACTGGCTGCCTATTGGTCTCCGGATACGCTTCAAGGTGCTAGTCGTCACTTATAAAGCCCTACATGGTATTGGACCTGGGTAGTTGAGAGACCGCCTTCTGCCGATTACCTCCCAAAGACCCATTAGATCCCACAGATTAGGCCTCCTCCGAATTCCATCGACCGGCCAATGCCGACTGTCAACCACCCAGAGGAGGGCCTTCTCTGCGGCTGCTCCGGCCCTCTGGAACGATCTCCCCGTGAACGACCCTCACCACCCTTCAGGCTTTCTGTATTGCCATTAAGACCTGGCTGTTCCAGCAGGCCTGGGGCTGTTGAGTTCCATCCCCCCTCGAACTAGAGTGCTTGCTGA